TTTGCTCTTCCCAGGTCTGTTCTAAACTGAGCCCAGAGCTATCAGAGCTGGTGGTGTACTGCAGAAGTGTCCCCTTCCGTGGCTTTGAAAATGCACCTGAAAAACCTCCAAATGAAATGTCTTCCTTCTCTGAAAGTGATGCCCTCAAGCTCATCAAAGACTCAGGTACAACTGTGCAAATATTTTATATTAATTCAAAAGAGAAGGTCGAAAATATTTGTTGACATTGCTTTCCTGCAGCTGATTCCTCCACAAAATATAATCAGCCTCCAGTGTATCATGGCATGCTACTTTCTTCTTTCCATTTGCAGGGAAGCTTTTTGTGAGACACAACAGCAGGCAGCTGAGCCGGATCTACCCCTCTGGCCAGCGCCTCGGATCATCCAACTATGATCCTCAGGAAATGTGGAACGGTGGATGCCAGATGGGTTAGTACTTTCAGACGAGAAGCTTTGTTGCTGCTCTGATGGCAGCACATTTAGGCAATTCATTCTGAAAACATTATGTGGACCGTAAGTGCCAAAGAAATGTTACAGTGACTCATTTCTGCAAATTGCCGCTTCATCACAACAACATTGATGTCAACGGCTTTGACTGATTGAGAGAATTCACAGATGCTGAAATGTTTTCCCTTGGCTTTGTGTGTGATCAGGCTTGCCGTGTTACTGACTTTCTCTTTGTGCTCTGCAGTGGCTCTTAACTTCCAAACTCCAGGAGAGCAAATGGACCTGAACCAGGGCCGCTTCCTGCCCAATGGTCGCTGTGGATACCTTCTTAAACCAGCTTTTCTGTGCAGCACCACTTCCGACTTTAACCCAGAGAACACAGGAGGAGGCCCCGGTCACACCCCCACCCAGCTGACTATACGAGTGAGTGGTAACCATACACTGTATGGATATTGTATATTAAGGTGGTGGACTATTGAGCAACAGTCAATTCGATTGGTTGTCTCAAATTCATCTTAGAAAACAATTGGTTAATCATAATTAGATTTTTGATGTACTGCAATGCAATTTTGACTGACATTGTTGCTACATTCAGACTGTTTCCGTTGTTACTGTCTACTACGTACATGTTAAATTCTTTGAAATCTGTTTATTTATGATTTTTTTGGCTGTATAAATAAACTGCATTTGACTTGACTTGAATTGTTACTCTCCCATTTAAACTGGATTCGAAAACTGACTATTGTCCCTTTGATTTTTAGATCATATCTGCGCAGCAGCTTCCAAAAATTGACACGGAGAAGGTTAGCTCCATTGTGGACCCACAAGTATGGGTGGAAATTCATGGGGTGTCAATTGATAATGCAAGAAACAAAACCCAACGCATCGACAACAATGGTAATACTGAGACGTCCTTATTCAGTATCAGCTATTTTATGTAGAGAATATTGTTTTAATGAAGCATCTAACTCATTTTCTATTTTTATGCAAACATGTTATTGAAGTGAAATTATGTAATGTCATAAGTTTTTCATCATTGTTTTACTTTTTTATGATGTAAATTCAGCTCAGACATTTTTGTGAAAGCCTTTCCTGTCCAAGCCCATGATTGGTTTGTTTGAAAAGTAGGTCGTTGGATGATGTATTTACAGCTCTTGTGCGCCCTCTACAGGTTTCAACCCCCGATGGGACTGCACTCTGAGCTTCCAGCTGCAGGTCCCTGAACTGGCCCTCGTGCGGTTTGTAGTGGAGGACCACGATCACACTGCCAAAAATGACTTTGTGGGGCAGTTCACTGTACCATTCATCAGCCTACGAACAGGTGCTCATTGAAAACCCTATGCAAATTATAAATCAGTCATTACTGTGGCATGCTGTTTGTAATGTACTCTTTTTTTCTCAGGTTATCGACATGTTCATTTATTGAAGGGAGATGGTTCCAGTCTCTCCCCCAGCACACTCTTCATCCATCTCAAAGTCACCCGCAAAGGAATACCAATCAAAACTGTGTCAGAGCGTATGGCCATTGCTAAAGGCAAGGCATGACGTGCATCTGAACTAGATGGAAAGCTGCATTTTCTGACAACAAAGGGCTTTGAAAAGGGGCTCTGAGCGTGAGCAGAGAGAGGCTGTCAGTCCCTGTCCGGTCCTCAAGTGGTCCAATTTACACTGAGCAACTGCAGGAGGAAAGATGTCGCTTATCAGAGATGAAGAAGCACTCTGGCTCTCAGCAAATGAAAGCCTCAGGCTAGATAATGAATCCATTATACACTGTGGGAGTATCATGTCTTTTCCAGGACACTGAGGATTGTGGTTCTCCAAATATGGGACTTGTTACAAAATCAGTTTTAGTGTTGTTTACTCTAATTTTAGGTGGCCATCCCAAATGTGTTGGACTAAAGATTTTTGTATTTTAGAAATATTTTAACATTTTTACACTTAATTGTTTGGCTAATACTTAAAGAATGAAGATATTTAACAAGAAACAGCACTTAATTAACTTAATGAGGGGGTAAGTCCTGTCAGTGGGACTCCCAGCATGTGATTTAAATATGTATCATTTTTAATGTTTAGGAATGATGATTATAACACAAACTTATGTTATGCAGATGTAAAAATATTTTACTGTGATTGTCACAGGTTGTGCATGAAGATTATTCAAATGATTAATATGTTTTACTTGATAATCTAGATACTCTAGGCACTTTTAATTTTATGACAATATACAGTATTTCCACAACTTAAAAAATGAACTTGAAATATAAACAGTATTAACTTTAACTTAACTTTCTTAAGAATCTAAATAGTTGTATTTACCTCATTTCACAAATGTGACATTTGTTTTGTTTGATATTTGTTTGTAGGCATATTAGCTCTGTTCTGTTAACAACCTTGCAATTTATTTGTGTTGCCAAATGTTGTGTTACATTCTTCTATAAAACGTTTGGTTAAACATGAATTGCAAATAGCAAACACAATACCAATGAATTTGAGCTACTGCAAATAATTTGAAACTCATAGAGCTTCCTTGGGATAAAATGGTGCAGTAATGAGAGGTACTGCACATGGATTACTGTAATTACAGTGCATGTGATCTATATGGATTTTAGAAGCATGTAACAAGCGTTGTATTATGCATTTGTAGTGTTAAATCATATGTTATATGAATGGCAGTTGATGTTATTTATGCAAGAGAAAATACTGTCTTCATAAAAGCACTAATAACATTTCACTGTGTGAGAACTTTTTGTTATTATTGATCTTTATAGAAATAGTATGTTTGTGTGTGTATGTCTTAAGTACATTGTGCTTATAGTATAAGTAGCCTTTTTTGATCTGAATACCCTTTTCATCACTAAATATGTTGTTATTTATAACAGCAATCAGTCTAGGTTATCCACCAAACATATCCTCTCCTCGCTTGCCTCAGTGTTTTCAATTCCCATTTAGCTAAATGCAGATCACATTGCTCATATCAAGCTGGTGTGCATGTGTATGAGAAGAATAATACTTTAAATCCAACAAATTACAAATGAATGAATATTGTGAAATAAATGCTTCAAAACCAGGAGCATGTCTTAATTATAAAATCTTAGATGTTTTTCTTCTCTTTATTGCAAAAAAAGCAAAAACAAACACCAGACTTACAGTATTTACGAGGGGTTAAGGGGTACATTTTATATTATAAAAGTTATATCATGAAAAAAAAAAATGTTTAAGTTGAGGGTGCTAAATAGTTGGCATGTTTTTTTTCGTCACATGTTTTTTTATGAATTACTCATTACACATTTTTTCTTCTTCTGTTTATTCATTTAGAATTCATTTCGTTTTTGGGTCATTCTACAGAAAAGGTGGAATCTGGGTGATACAAATCTGCTGAAATATATTCCTTCTAAACACATCTAAAACCTGTTGAATAGCAACTAACTCTTAACTTGATGAATCCACAACAAGTAGAGCTTAAAGTATTTTTATTATTTGTATACATTATACAATGCTTATTTACATAGTAACGTCACTGGTGTTACGTGTTACCAGGAAGAAGAGTAACACCAGTGAGTGACGGTAACAACAGTGACAATTTGGAGAAAACACTACCATTTTAACAAAATGGCTGCAATGTTTCAGACCAAATATGGCTTCAGTCAATATCAAAATCGTTTAACTCTTCAATACAATACATTTTCCCTTTCAAATGTTCACCCCTAGGGCTATGCAATGAGTAACACTAATGACAGACTTGAAAGACGCACGTAAAATTTGAAGATAAAATGACACCTTTAACAAACAAAGTAAGAAGTATCTGACTTTCCTTATGTCTTTGTCCACTGCACTGCCTCAAATGATCTCTTGTTACAGGAGGCACTTCAGAGACAGTACATTATTTCAAAAATAAAAGCGTTTTGTGTAGCAGTAACACCAATTACGTAATTTTGGATGACTGACATTTATTGGATATTATTAATAATAATTTGCGTTTTTTGTTACCATTTCAGTGTTATAATCAATGTGTGTAATGTTATGTAAATATGAATGAGATTTATTTATTGAATTTTTTTTTTTTTAAATGAAAACTATAGGCTCCACTTCCATGTATGATCAAAGTGACAAGGCAGTTCCTTGAACTTGACATTTTAAATAAATAGCAATTTATGTATAAAACAATCTTTTGAATTTTTGAATTTAGTACCATTGCAAAGACAATTTCTATTTATTCAACATCTATAATCACTGTGAGTATTAGATCAACGTCAAGTATTTTGGTGTCTGCAAAAGTAAGGGAAAGTACTTCCACCTTTTCTGTATTGAAAAGTTGTTTTATCCCCCTAAGATAATAATAATAATAATAACACATGGGACTTATATAGCGCTTTTCTGGAAACTCAAAGACGCTAAAACGTGAACACTTCTTTTCCAAAGGGGAGATCTAAACCTGTGCATGTGTTTATTACAGGCTCTTATAAAAAAACAGCCACTAGAAGACAACAGTGAAGACGTTTCCATCAGCGCCCTCAGCCAATAGAATCAGAGGAGCTTTAAAGCCGTCGAGGGCACGCGGTGCCTCCTCACTTCCTGGTCGAAGATGGCGGATGAGAATGAGACAGCACCGATGTCGGAGAAAGAAGATGTAGAGGACCACGGACACTGTAGCGACTGTGAAAATGAAGAGCACCACTCTGACGATGGGTAAGGAGGCAGGCGTTGCAGCAAAGCGGAGTAAAATATGTCACGTCGCTGAACACTTTATCAAAGCAAGAACAAACTTAAAAGCCTCGGCGAGCTGTCGGCATAGACAGCCATCGTTGGAGGTTGTCCGGTCCATTTGCCTGTATCCTATTGGTTAGAAACACCGTTTGTTTGCCCGTTCTCTATTGTGATTGGTTGAGAGTGCGTTCTATCCTTCGTGTGGGCGGGCTTTAGCGTCGCTCACATAGCAAGGCGTAGTATGGGGGGTAGCAAACTCAAAGTACGCCTAAAAGGTAGACATGTAATAAACAGTATACGATATTTTACTCGTATAACTTACAGAAAAGGCCAATCAGTTTTATTTAGTGCACAGGGGGATGTATTATTCCCACCTACTGATTGCGTGCAGCCTATTACTGGTGCAATTCATGGCAACCCCAGTTGACATTAGCAAGTTAGCTTGCATGCTAATATAGCTGTCAAACGTCCTATTGTCTTGTAAGGGAATCTGGGTGCACACAGTGGTATAACCAAAAGTGAAACAAGCAAAACTTGCATTTAACGCATGCTACTTGATCGTACAATCCCTCCGTTCGGAGTTTTTTGGTCTGGGGAGTCAGAATGGCTTTTGATTCACCAATTGAATCACACAAATATTAAACATCCTAAATCACGAGCTCTCTTGTTGAAAACATGCTTGATTACAAATAATGTTTTCGTCATTGGCTTGTGTTATTGTTTAGCAAGCGGTGTGACAAAACTAAAAGGACTGAATAATTAGCTTGCAAATATTAAGGCGTGTCCTGATTACGTTAAATGCGTTTTCTGCAAATGATAAAACAGTGTTGCTCTTATGCAGTGGCTCCCAGGCTTTGTGGCTTGTGACCTCGTCAAAAAACGATGCGTTATGGCCTATGGTTATGGCCTAATTGTGAGCTGTTTGACTTCAATCTGAAAGCCTCCAATATTTCACAATAAAGCAAAAAGCTAATTAATGTGAATAAAACACAATTTTGTGTATTAAAATTAAATATGTTCCTACCCTACCTACCACTGCTTTAAGGGTAAAGTGATGAACCTATTTATTAATTGAATTGAAGCTAATGTAAGCTTAACTGTTGCTCTTTTTGAGCAGCATATGCTTCACTCCCAACACGCACAGAAACAAAGAATGGTTCTGGCTGTTGGCTGGTCTTCTCTGTTCAAATGGAAGCCTGTGGAACAAACTGTTGAATGTTTTGTTGTCCATTGTCAGTCACGCACTGACCTCTTGTACATACATATGTACACAAGCACATATACCATACACTCTTCTTCCAGAGGTCATGTGATTCACCATCTGTGCTGGTGTTACAAATACAGGCCAATGCTCGGCCTCTCTCCTCTCTTGGACACTAATGAGATTATCCTCTGTAAGTATGCGGTTTTTCTCAGGGCAGAAGTTGGGATAGCTGGGTGGGGGTGTGTGTCTCTACAGGTTTGTCACACAGGCTGTGGGAGGGGGTTTATACTGTCAAATGCTTCATCCTGTACCAGCAAAGAAACAACTGATGCAGAGGGACACATTCCAAATGTTTCTACCTCTCTACCTTTTATATGTTTGACTATTTTTAGCTATTAGATCAGGGTGTGTTCTTGCTGAAAGACCATTGTAGATGATTAACTAATGGAGACTTTATTCCACTACTGAAATAGGATGTGTAGCAGTGAAAATATTTGTCTTGCTTTAGGACTTTATTGTCTAGGATTCATGTACTTATAGCTAAACGAGTCGAGGCAGCCCTACATGTACGCTTGGGTCACTTAAACGTGACATTATGCAGATTTTTAGGTTTGTTATTTTATTTTAAATGTTTTTCAAATTCCTGTATTAACCTTCAATCTAAAATGCTCTGTCTTTTTAAGCCTCCCTCCTGTAAATCCCTGTCTGCTCAGATTGGATTGTGAGAAAGACTTTTGAAGATAGATTTCAAGCCTTCTCAAGATGGATTGCGGTATATTCCAATGAGGCTGCATGTGAAATATAGGAAGGGGAGACAAAGCCGAGAGGCTTGTTGAATCCCTTGCTTTTAGAATTTGGATTCAGCACACAATATGAACCCATTGACGACTGAAAGTTCTCCATTTGACCTTTTTGTGGTCAAATGTGATCACTTTGACCTTTTTCGTGGTTTTATCAAATATATATATATATATATATACAATTCTACTTTACGAGGACCTGGCTTTTCTCTCAATAATGATATGTATATGTTCTATTTCTATCCTTCAGTGACAGAGGTTTGGGTGACGACACTGGGGCTAAGAAGAAGAAAAAGAAGCAGAAAAAGAAGAAGAAATCTGGTGCCACAGAAGCAGTCCAGGACCCCCTTGCCAAGGCATGAATCTCTACATTCTATGAAATACCGTGTTTTTAAATAAAAATAAATAAAATCTTGAAACTTCAGGTGTAATTACCCAAAGTTTGGAGTTCCTTTTCATCTACAAGGGCGGTTAAAGCACCCAGAAATCCTGATATAGTTTCCTATTACAGACTTGCTATTTAGACGTTTGTACCCTTATAGCTCACAATGCAGCACTCTTGAGTTGCATGCTTACATCTACATGATTAAACATTATACTTCTTATTTATCTTGGCCCTCACATATCGCACCAAATGAAATAGAAATTAATAATTAATTTGGCTACATTAGCCCTTTAACACTGTTCAATTTCCAAACAGGTGAATTCCTTGCCAGCTGATAAGCTACAGGAGATCCAAAAGGCCATTGAACTGTTCTCTGTAGGCCAAGGTCCTGCCAAAACCATGGAGGAGGCAACTCGGAGGAGTTACCAGTTCTGGGATACGCAGCCGGTGCCCAAGCTAGGTATGACATCTGTCACAGCTGTCAGTTCTGCCCTTGGACTTAAAACCCATAACCACAGTATTATAGGTCACCGACCTTCATGTCAGAATCTGTTTTGTTTTTATTCAGGAGAGACCGTGACATCACATGGCTCCATTGAACCTGACAAGGATCACATTCGTGAGGAGTCCTATAGCCTCCCGCAGGGCTTCAGCTGGGACACCCTCGACCTGGGAGACGCCGGCGTGGTAAGAGAGTGTATAAACACACAATTTACATTTATATGGTAAAAGTTTGCTTGCCTTATGTATCATTCAAATAATGTAACATTCTAATCAAATCGGTTTCCGATTTGTCTTCATTACTCTCCCGTGTCTAACTTAATGTCTGCTTTTGTCCCTTCTGTAAAACCAGCTCAAGGAGCTTTACACTCTCCTCAACGAGAACTATGTTGAAGATGATGACAACATGTTCCGATTCGACTACTCCCCGGAGTTCCTGCTCTGGTATTTTTCTTAAAAGTTGTTTTTCTTCTTATTTACACTTTACTAGTATGTGTAAAGCTAAGGACTTACCAATATGATATATCACATGGTAATACATCTATGATAAATATATGAATAAGGCTCTATATTATTTCTACATAAGGAATTACATTATATTACGGTAATGTGTGTGTAAAATGGACTTTTCTCTTTCTCAGGGCCCTGCGGCCCCCCGGCTGGTTGCCCCAGTGGCATTGTGGGGTCAGGGTTAACTCCAACCAGAAGCTGGTAGGCTTCATCAGTGCCATTCCTGCTAACATCTCTATCTATGACATGTAAGTGGATTGAATTAAATGCATTGATCTCAGGAAATCTTCTGTTCTTACTCCAAAATACATGCACTTAATGACCAGTTTATTAGGTAAACGTGTGCAATCTCTAATGCACTCCACCGAACTATTCTGCCCTTTCAACTGTTATAAAGCCTATACTTTTCAGTTTGTCAAATTGTCTTGGGTGTTATTTGAATCGTATTTTCAGAATTGTGGTTAGTTGTTTTGCACTTGTATATTTAGAAGCTTTTGTTATATTCTGTCTTATCTAATTATAATATAAAAAGTATTTAATTATATCAAATCAATGCCCGTTTTATAAATGTACTGTCATTTTTTTTGTTTTAATGTGTTGCCCACATAATGAACTATTGTCCTTGATCCTTAGTGAGAAGAAAATGGTTGAGATCAATTTCCTCTGCGTCCATAAGAAGCTTCGCTCCAAACGAGTCGCTCCAGTTCTGATCAGAGAGATCACCAGACGGGTCAACCTGCAGGGAATCTTTCAGGCTGTTTACACTGCTGGAGTGGTCCTGCCCAAACCTGTGGGCACATGCAGGTGGGCCTGACAGAAAACCCCCATACTCTTCTAAATCTGCTTTTGCTGGGCCGCAGTACTCACAAATCTTGTCTTCTCTCAGGTACTGGCATCGCTCTTTAAACCCACGCAAACTAATCGAGGTGAAGTTCTCCCACTTGAGCAGGAACATGACCATGCAGCGCACCATGAAGTTGTACCGTCTGCCGGAGGTTTGTGACAAAACACGCATATTTGCGAAACACAAATACAGCACATTGCCTTGCCACGCCTTCATTCTGCGACTCCCTTGTCTTCTCGCCTTCAGGCTCCTAAGACCCCAGGTCTGCGGGTGATGACCAAGAAGGATGTGCCATTGGTGCATCGCCTCCTCCGTGGGTACCTGAACCAGTTCAACCTGGTGCCTGCCATGACACCGGAAGAGGTGGAACACTGGCTACTTCCCAGGGAGAATATTATCGACACTTACCTGGTGGAGGTAAAAAGAAAATTCCAAATATTTTTAACAGTTACATTTTCTAATGATTGTGTCTTAAAAGAATACTTCAGCCACAAAATGATCCAATGTTTACATTGAGTCCTTGGTTTTCTTGTATGAAAGAAACAAAAAAAATGAAGAAAAGTCTTTAAGAATTCATGCAAATGGGCTGGATTTAACAACACGTATATTTTCGCTTAATCCTTTAACTGGCGCCAATGCAGACCTGCAACTGTTTATGTAAAGTGTTGTAAAGGGTAATGTATTAGAAAAGAAATCATTTTTCGGAACTTGCGAGCATGCCTGGTTATACTGCACGAGTCGCGTGTGTTTTATATATGGATGTTTTGCTTTTAACATTTACAAATGGTCATTTTGTGGGTGAATTATTCTTTATAAAAACATCATTTAGTTTAGTTTTTACACTGGGAAACGTTATTAAAAAGAATATTGTTCCCTTTACAGAATGATGGCAAAGTAACGGATTTCCTAAGTTTCTACACACTGCCCTCTACCATTATGAACCACCCTGTGCACCGCAGTCTAAAGGCAGCATACTCCTTCTACAACGTGCACACCACCACCCCCATGCTCGACCTGATGTCTGACGCCCTCATCCTAGCCAAATCGGTGTGTTCCTCTCTAACCAATGTGTCTGTTTTCTGAAAAGTTTATTCTCAGCGAACCTTTGGGTTTTTATTGCTTCTCATCTCATTATACAGAAAGGGTTTGACGTCTTCAATGCACTGGATCTAATGGAAAACAAGACTTTCTTGGAGAAGCTTAAGTTCGGCATTGGTGATGGAAATCTACAGTATTATCTGTACAATTGGAAGTGTCCCAGCATGGGCTCAGAAAAGGTACATGTCCCAGGTCAACTTTTATTTTCTCATTTTATAGTGGCATTTTGAAAACCCGGGTATCTGAGGGTCTTGAAAAGTCCGAACACATTTAATTTTTTTTTTTTTTCTCTACCAAAGGCTTAGAATAGATTGGATTTTTCAATTTTAATATACACAAGTCTCACAAGTTTCTTACCTGTTCGTTACAAAACGTTTAAATCATTTTCAGTGCTGGGATCTTCAATCTTCAACTGTTCTCCTAATGGCTGACGTTTTCTTTTCTCAGGTTGGGTTGGTACTGCAGTGACGTCCCTTTATGCCATACACAAGTGTCACCAACAGGCCAGGAGACAGCACCATCGCACTCACCACCTGACGGATGGACTGATGACTTCCTGATTCAGGAAAGGAAACCCCACCGCCCATTTTTACTTTTTGACCTTTTGAACTATGACCTGCACTACCGCTGCCAGGCAGGAAGGCTGGGAGAGTTTACTGCTCTTCCTCCTCCCTCGATCACATAGACCTTAAGCCATTTTTACCATCCCAAACAACTGTATTTTATCTGATAGCTGTCTTGTACCAAACATACAGGAACAGTTTGCATGGTGTATGGCATACCTACTAAATGTAATACAGGTAAATAATACCAAACTTTACTGCAGATTATGCCCTAACACATGCAGACTAGAACATACTTGTTTTGTTTTATTCCTTAATGTTGGAAGTGCTTTTTGCAATTAAAACAAATCTGTCATTCTTAAGTTTTAGAGACAAAGAAAAATCAAAATGATCAACAAATATTTTAAAGAGAAAAAGGGTCAAAAGGATGAGGTAATAAATACCAAAAGTGGAAACCAGGTGCTGGCTTCTTTTAAGATTTCTCGACACGTGTCTTTTTGGATTTTTCTTATCAAACCTTTTGTCTTACCAATCGTCATGGGGAAGATGTGTATGCCTTCTGGAGTTTTTATCATCTGTTTAAATAAATTGACCCTGCTCCCCAGCTTACTGCACTAACACAAGGCCTGACACACAGCTTGATAACAGTGGACCACCTCAGTTGGAAGGAGATGAGAGGTTGATGCGATTCTGAGGTGGGGGTTACACAACACATTTATCAATAGGGTTCAGATTTGTAAGGATACTTGCAAAGGTCATAAAGAGCTTAGGTCAAAATGGAGAGTGCTTGAGTGTTTTGCAGGACTTTGAGCTCATTCTGTAATTTGCCTGAGGAAATCGTACAAAGTCTTATAAATATTAATATAACAAAATACAATGTACCCACAAGAAAACTGAAAGATGTGGCAACAAGTTTTAATACACAAAGCACTAACTGTGTATGTCTTGAGTGCATAGGGAAATAATGTTGGTTTAATTATGTGTCATTGATGATATAAAGTCACTAATATTATGCTCCTATGAGCTTAATTCAGTGAAAGAAAAATAAAATAGACACAATATGAACTATGAGCACTGCAAGTAGCATTTCACCTCAAAACAGTATCTGGAGCTCTACACTAATCATGCAGATGACATCAAATCAAATGAAAAGGTGTGTGTCTCATAAATTGCAACCTGTGAGGATTCAGAGTGCATGTTGAAACTGGTCCTGTGAAAGGCCGTCTGGACTCCAGGACATTGTGCAGAGTGGGTGATGATGATTGCTGGGGTAATGCCCTGCTTCAAAGTGTTTCTGATGTAAAATCTTGGTCGAACTTGGACAAATATGTAAACAAATAATGGGTCTTGTGCTGTAATGATGCAGAAAAAAAAGAATGTGAAGATGCAGATTTCTTTTTTTGAGCAAAAAAATAAAATCAAGAAATTGCTTAAAGTCGCTTTTTCGTTCAGTTTACAAGTTTACACATCAAAATAAACTCTTGTCAAGTTACGTTAAGGCATTGGAAAAAAGACTAGTCTACCTCAAGTTCCTTTTTCTAGCTTTAAGTGAATGTCGGTTACAATGTTTTTTCTTTTTTGTAAAATCACTGACCATGGCCAACAATGAGCAAGTGATATTTAGTGCTTTACTTTTCTTTACTTTTGATTAAACTGATAACCTTAATTTTTTATTTAATCATACATTTTACAAGGTGTTTAACAGGTGTGCAACATGGGGTACTCTTAATCAGTTTCATGACTCAACGGGTAAAAAACCTATATGAAAAACACCTCAAATATGTATTTCTGTTTTCCTCTGCTGTATGTACAGTAGGCCTATTCCTATTTATACTATTGTATAATAATACTACATGTTATCTTTACAGCACTATTTAAACGAGAAATATTAATTGGTTTCTGCGATTTTATGAAAGTGTAGAAATAAAATAAAAATGTAACTCAACAAATGTATATGAAAAAAAAACAATTAACAAATAAAACACAAAAAAACGTGAATTGTAAAAATGAAATAGGTACACGGCATTAAATGTATTAAGGAAGATAATTCGTAGTGCTATCTTTTTTTATAGTTTTTTTTTATATATAAATAAGAATGTTTTTTGTTTATGTTCACTTCTTTGCACAAGTTACTCTGGGGTCATAGCCCCTTTGTTTCGCATTATGTAACACAGTTGAGGCACACAGGTCGTCTCGCTTTTCCTTTAAAACGAGGAGTCGCTCTCACACAGCACTGCACGTTGATTGGTTGAATCTGCCTGACGTGTCCCAAAGAAAGGCTCTCATTGTCCAGAATCATGCTGCATGTCCTGTCACTCAAGCAGGCCGTATTTACACCTGATTTACACGCGTGAACACGGAACTGAACACCCGCTGGACAGTGTTTCACCAACCGGCACGATGTTGCTTAGTGTTGTGATTTTTTGTGTAGCTTTGGTCATATTTGTATTAAAATATGTCTTCGGCAGCTCCGGGCCTAACCCCTTTGAGAAGGACACTCGTGAACCGGTGAAAAAGATGGTTCACAACAGGAAAGAGAAGAATAAAGTGCTGAAGCAGGGTGAGTAGGCTACAACACTGCCAAGGTCGTTTTACAGTATCTTCATAAAGTTTGTAAACTGACGTGAAGTTCTTTTATAAACTGTTTAAAGTAATATGTTTTCTGTGTTTCTGTCCTCGACTCTGCAGGGCAATGTTATTGAGAATAGAGAATCTGGTTGTGCAGGAATGAACATTTGTGGCAACATGCTTAGTGGGAATTTTACCATAGACTCGAAACAATCAGTTGTCATTCAGTATTTTATACGATGAAATTCAGTTTTCCACTCAATTTAGCATTGGCAACACTTTGCTGCTTCCTTTTAGAGATGATGTGAACCAGGGCCGTCCCTGGCCAACTTGAGGCGTTATATGATGAGGCCCTCTGTTTCGACGGGGGGGTGTGCTAGTGGAGCCTCGCAGTGAAACCGTGCCGTGCCGTTCTCCTCTGAAATTCCTCAGATCTTTTGGTTATTTTGCCATTTGTGCAACTTCTTTAGGATTTTTGGCCAGTAAAGTACCTGAAAACCTGGATGCGGTCATCATCGGCAGTGGGATCGGTGGGCTTGGGCTTGCAGTGCTGATGGCCAAAGTTGGAAAGAAGGTCCTGGTGCTGGAGCAGCATGACCGGTCTGGAGGATGCTGCCACACGTTCACTGAGAAGGGCTTTGAGTTTGATGTTGGTGAGAACAATGGCTCTTCTTCTCATTAAAATCTTACACCTTAAAAAAATGGATAGTTGTGCACATTTATAAGATGAGGGGATCATTTTCTGTATATTTCTGAATATTGCAAAACTAAGATGTTAACTTGCATTGTTCTCTACTCTTCCTCCCGCAGGAATCCACTACATCGGGGACCTGCAGGAACACAAGCCGTTCCGCTGCATGCTGGACAACATGACTGACGGACAGCTGCAGTGGGAGCCTCTGGACAACCCTTATGATCAGGTCGTGCTGGGACCTCCAGAGAACCGCCGCAGGTATCCCATCTACAGTGGCAGGACCCGCTTCCCAGAGGAGCTGAAAAAGTGCTTCCCTGGAGAGGAGAAGGCCATCGACGATTATATCAAACTGTGCAAGGTTTGTTTTGCTTTACAGTTTTGTCATTGGGTGGTTTAAAGTAATCGTACAGAATATTGACTACATGCAGATGCAATACAACAACTTGATCCAGATATAGAGACATTTAGAGTCAAATATCTTTCAGTGATATTCTAGCCATTTCAATGCCTTTTCCCCCAGTGAACTTGTGATTATAAACTGTACCGTACTTTAACACAAAGAAGCTTCATTATCAAGTTGTGGTGTCATCACTGATATTTTTCAGGGGCTCAAGGGTTAGTAAATCAAAGGTCAGAGTAACTCTCTGCGATATTGCAGACTGAGTTGCAACAGTGTTTTGCTTTGCCAGACAGATGAAAAGGCTTGTCACTTTCTTTTCTTTATCTTATCTGTCAATTTGGTACCACTTTACAATAAGACTACCCTTATAAAGGATTCATAAAGGGTTTATAATTAGGTTATTAATTAGGTTCTAAAAACTTTATTAATCATTAAGAACCATTTATAAACCAGTTCTAACATAGTTTTCATACATGAACACAGGCTCACTATTTGGCAAGATGACTAAGCCTTATATTGGCTTAGCGAGAATCAACTCAGTGAGCAACAGATACCAAGGATGCTGGCTGATGAAGAACACGAAGTAAGCTAAGTAGCCAATATAAGGCTTAGCACAGGGGTGCCCAACCTTTTTTGAACCGAGAGCTACTTTTAAAGTTGCCAGTCTGCCGAGATCTACCAGACCAAACAGAGAGGCGTAGCCATTACTGACAGCCTACTACCAGGAAAATACACACTTCTACTTGTATGAAACTGACCTTTATACGATTAATACTTCATAAAATACTGCAGATCCTTTATCTTACCTCTTTCTAATCTACACACATACAAGTATTTAANAAGGCTTAGCAGTTGTGGGCTCACTATTTGGCAAGCAACCGGTCACAGTTGCCCTGTTTATCTCATGTCTTATAAAAGCTTATTAATGATTTATAAAGTGTTCACAACCTAATTAATAAATGAATTACAAACTATTTGTAAACCCTTTTACAAGGGTAGTCTTATTGTAAAGTGGTACCGTCAATTTTGTACAACTTTTTACTTCTTCTTATGCTTGGCCGACAGCAACAGCCATAGCCTGGAAAATGTTTTCGGGTTTGTAATAGAAATTCTTTAAAATCTTTGGCACAAATGTACTCCATGGTAAAGGTCACTGTGACCTCCCACGTTTTTGGACACTACACAATAACCAACTTTGTGATGCGTTTTGGTCAGACTAAAAGGTCCATTCTAACCATTTTCACACAACAAAATACATACAGTGTATATCAATTGTATTTTCTTAACTTCTTGTCTGCTTGGTTTGATTGGTTTGTTTTTTGTTAAATGTCTTGTGCTTGTCTTTTCTTCTAAAATCTTATTCCCATGTTGGAAATAAGAATTTTTAATCTAACATGTTTACCTTTGGACACTTTAGTTTTTGTCTGAATAACCATTAATGCAATCATTCAATCAATCAATCATACAGAAACAGACTATTATGATTGCGCTCACGTATAAGTGTGTGTCAGTCCAGCCCTCATCTGTGTGTCTTGTGTGTTCTGTCTTCAGAAAGTTGGGCGGGGCATTTGGCTCCTCGCTATGTTGAAGATCTGCCCTGCCTTCCTGGCAAAGTTCCTGGTCTACACCGGTCTGGCCAAACGTCTGTCTTACTTCTTCAAAATGGCCTCCCACAGCCTGACAGAAGTCGTCAATGAACTGACAGAGAATGAGGATCTCAGGGCCGTCTTCACCTACATCTATGGCACCTATGGTAGGCCAAGCCACAGTCCTAATGGCTTAATAGATGTATTCTTTAGTATTCTGCTTATGGCCTTTGTTTATTTCTCTGACCTGCAGGTAACATGCCAAAAGATACCAGTTTCTCTATGCACAGCCTGCTGGTCACTCACTACCTGAACGGTGCCTGGTACCCAAAAGGCGGAGCCAGTGAAATTGCCTACCACATGATCCCCATCATTGAGAAGGCTGGTGGTGCGGTTCTAGTCCGAGCTCCAGTCAACCGCATCCTGTTCAATGACGCCAAGGAGGCTTATGGTGGGTGTGATTTCCTGAGTGTTTCAATACAAAATCCCAGCACGCAGCTCCAGCTGATCAGATATTCACTGCTGTTTTTTTCATGCTTTTAGGTGTGAGCGTCATGAAAGGCCAGGAGGAAATACATATCCGCGCCCCCATGGTCATCTCTAATGCTGGCATCTTCAACACCTACGAGAAGCTGCTGCCCAAAGAGCTCCAGGCCATGCCAGGTAGGGAATACATGCTTCAACTAATGATTATTTTCAGTTTCTACTTAACATTTATTCATTAATGATGATTGTTTTATTATCAGTTAATCCTTTAGTCTAGAAAATGCCAAGGTGACAACATCAATATATACTTTCTTTTTTTGGTCTGCCAAAAAACCCAAATGACTCAATTCAAATGACATAAAATCGAGAATAGCAGCACATTTTACGAAAGACTGGAGTTTGTTTCCATGATGGATAAGTTGAGCAATAATTTCAGTGTGAGCTGCAAAAAGTATGGTTCAGTTTTCTCCCCTTACTCAATGACTCGCGGCTTGTTTCCATCTAGCTCTGTGCATGCAAGTCAAGCGTAAGGTAATTCATTCTTAAACATTTACCATTTTAATATTTTTTTGCGGAGTTTGCAAAGTACGGTGAGATTTGTTTCATTTTGCAGCAGATTTCAGACCGTCTGTATGATCTGTATGCTGTTGTGGAATGTGTTAATTAGCTATCAAGTTATTACATTAAATTAAATCAATTGCTTATGTTATCCAAATTGTGTAATTGATCATTTAAAATAAGCTAGTCCAGCTAGTTTACATATAGGAAATAAAAAAAATGTATGGTCAGCATAGCCTACACCACTGATTTTGAAGTTGAATAAAAGTAGGAGAATTCCTTATTACATTCATATAGTACATTTATTGCACTATTGGACCTATTACTGTCTCGGCAATGCTCCTGGAGCGTATTCCATAATATCGGACAGCAAAAATTACATAAAATAAATTGTTTTCCCATCCCTGCAATGGCGTTTTTCTCCAAATAAGCATTTCCCTGCTCAGGGCACTTTGTTCCTACTGGCTCAAAATTGTATGGAAACAATCCTTCCCACATATAGATAACATTTTTATGTTACTTATCTCTGAGCTGTTGATAAAGTTGTACTGTATGATGTGGATCTCCTATGTTTTAAAACCCTGCTCCTTATCTGTAAATATAACCTGCCAGCACTTTTTCTTTCTACAGTATACTGTAACCCACACTAGTGTATGTACTGTAACCTCACCTGCAGCTTATCTACTCTGTGAACTTCATGATTAGATGCAAACTGCATTATTGTGCAATGTCAATAAAGTTGAATCTAATCTGATCCTTTCATCCAGCCATCCAACAGCAGCTGGGCATGATGAAGAACGGTCTAGGAGGCCTGAGTATTTTTCTGGGTCTTGAAGGAACTAAGGAGGATCTGGGCCTCAAGGCAGACAACTACTGGATCTTTACCGAGAACAATTTTGATGAACTGTATGTTGACCTTCTTCTTTTATCTTTTGATTTTCATTGTAATAATTTTGAGGAATAGCCAAACACAGACCTGGCAACTTAAAAGCTTCTATTTTATTTAGTTTGTAAGGACGGTATTTTATTTAGTTTTTGAATTCATGGCAACTTTAACACAAACTACATCTCAAAATCCCTAATTTATTTTTTCTAAAACTTCACATGGACTTTGATCTGATGTAAAACACTGTGTCTGAAAGAAACATGAAGATATACAACACATGGAGATTTAAGTCACTGTAAATACTTGTACTTTCTTTACTATTAGAAGATATCTTCATTTAGATATTTAAAGTAAGAACGGAATAAGTCTACTTCATCTATTTTGTATCTGTGAATTCACCAGAACTACATCATTTCCTTGACAGGACGGAGAAATATTTGAATGGAAAGAGGGAAGAGTCAGCTAAAAGTGTACCACTTCTGTTTGTTGCCTCTCCATCGGCTAAAGATTCGACCTGGGAGGAAAGATCACCAGGTACAGAGGCTGTGACGTGATGCAGTGTGTCAGTTCTTCCGTGTTTACAGTGAAACTATGTTAATGCAAGATTCAGAATGATTGATGTATAAAACAAAATATATTTTTAATCAGAACTCACTTATTGTTGTCTCATAGTGTCATTAAAACCAACCCTGATCCATTTAGTTAAAAGAGCGATAAGATTTGTAACATTTTTGATTATTGCGAACACATTGACACACTATTTATTAATTTCCAATGCTTTACAATTCTCTGGTATAGTCAAATATTCTCTAATTTCTTTCCTCACATTAGGGAAGTCCACCTTGAGTCTGGTCAGTTTTGCAAAGTACGAGTGGTTTGAAGAGTGGAAGGATGACAAAGTGAACAACAGAGCGCCTGAATACAAAGAGCTGAAACAGATATTCATTGACTCGATTCTGGAGGTGCTGATGGATATCTTCCCCAAGATAACCAGAGACAAGGTATTTTTTATGAATCTGTCCCTTTTTATATATTATGGAGATTATTGCAAATGGTATTCTCTGTAGGCTGTCACTCTCTTTGGTACAGTATGCACTTCTACAATTTGTCTGTAGAAGTTTTTACTTTAAAGTATTATTATTTTTTTTAATTATTTTTCCTAATTATAACACCACCATTGTCTGAAACTAGGTATTCATATGCCTGTTTTCTTTTGTTATAGATTGAGTACATCGATGCTGGCACTCCCATTACAAACACACACTACATCGGAGCCCCCAAGGGTGAAATCTACGGAGCGGATCACGGCATCGCCCGATTCAGCCCTGAACTCAACGCTACAGTGCGACCTCAAACTCCTCTGAAGAACCTCTATCTGACAGGTGAGCCCATCCGTGCAGCACAGTATCATCAGAGGTCACTTGTAATTCCTCACAACACTTTACAGTATCATCCCATTTTGTGTTGCAGGTCAGGATGTGTTTCTGTGTGGCTTTGCTGGCGCTCTTGCAGGAGCTCTCACCTGCGGCTCCGTCATTCTCAACCGCAACCTCCATCTGGATGCCATTTCTTTGGCAAAGAAAATTAAATATGCCAAATCGAAAGAAGATTAACTGCCTGAACGTATTCAGCTGAGTGCGGTTATACTGTAATTATTCAGTAACTGAGCTAACCCCTCACTCACAAAAAAAACTTTTGTTTTATGCGCCCTAGAAAAAAGACTTCCACATAACATTGAACAAATGAAAGAAAAGTGGAAAGATGAGTTTTCCAATCCGACAGATCAACACTTAGCTGTGCTAACACTTAACAAATATGCTTAGCCTACCTACAATAATTCATGTTTGAATACCTCCAATTTTATACATTGTGTGTAATGTAAGATTTGCAATGTTTCAGCAGCCAACCTGCCTTATCAGAGCTAACAAGACCTCAATTATTTATGCAAACCAAAGTTTGAAATAATATGCAGCTTGTTGTGTGATATTTTATTCTAAACTGCCTTTTTAGTTTGCTCTGAGTCTAAACACTGACTGATGGTTTTGCAGTTTGTAACATGTTTACAAAGCTTCTGCCCTCTTTAATATTAAAAGGGTATTTACTATTAATTTCTTGTGGTTTGGTCTTTGTTGTATTCATTTCTAAATCCATTATTTATATTTTGAAACCTGTCAATATTATTAGCAATTCACGTTCCTGCTAATAACAAAGACATGAACTACATATTTGTAAACGTCCCATTGACTACAAAGCACGGTTATTGACGTTGTCATAAAAAACCTGCCATGCTGTTTTTTTCTGTTATCTGGAAACCACCCTCCTCACAAACAGGACTTTATAAGTGTATTTGTTATTAATGTGCAGTGAAGGTTAACGCAACACTAGTTTACACTGACTTTGACAGCAGCAGGGAGCACGTGTAGGAAGTGGCCTTAACAAAATGTAAATTTTGAGCTATCTGATTGGGTGAATTTCTAATGCTGCATTCAGCATGCAGCAGATGTGCATCGACATTTCCCTGCAGGCGGCCACATGGAGGGGAGCGGTCTGCAGTCTGAGAAAAGGTAAAAGCAGCAGATATTGTACCAACAAGCGACATTAAAAGCTTGTTTGTATATTATTTATATTGTTTTTACTTGTGGTTCGCTGCTGTGGTGTTTATAAACATTTGACCTGCTAGCTAACTTGCAAACCTCACTTTTAGAGACGAGTTACGTTAGCTAGCTTACTATGACTTGAAAAACGTGTTGCGAGCAGCTAAGCTAAATGCAACATGTTTAACTTTTTTGATCCTTTTAATAGATTAGATTAGATTAGATTACTTTATTGTCATTACAAAAATGCAAGCACAGTGCAGGGCTGCCAACATTTGAGTTCAGCTTGGAGTGAGATTTTTTTTTGGTGAACCGAAAAAAAACGTTCAAGTGTACAGTGTTACAAATGTATTGAACATGTACAAACTAGAGTTTCCCATTAATGTACCGGGCGCTCCAGTTGAATACGCACATACACAGTGTACCTGCAACTCTTACAATGAAGGCTCGATATCATCTCACAGCATATAAAATGGCATATAGGTGTAAGCAGTGGTAAAGTGCTATTTTACAAGTGGGGGAGGGGGGGGTCCGTCACCTCCTCTAGGGGGT